TTATCAAAATTTTCTGAGTAAGTAAGCATAGCTGCTACCCTCAGCTATATTTAGCATACAATATTGTTTTAAAATTTCTTTTTCGATATTAGCTAGATATAGATAGTATAGACAAACTAGCATTAAACTTGTTGTTATTGCATATAAGAGATGTTGTTTCTTTTACGATGTATACTTTTTAAATATACAAATTAAATAAAGAAATGATGTTTACCTACTGGAAAAAAAAAAATAATAATAATAAATTATCAAAAATAAATTTTATAAAATATGTATATTGGTATTTTTTTTGGTTTTCTTACTCATTATAAATAAAAACATAGTAATCACAACAAATTAAAAGTTTTGTTGTTTTCTTCTTGTTAACATGTGCAGAAATAAACTAATAATAAGCAACGCAAATGAATTATTAATGTTTTCTTAATAGTATAATGTTATAAAAAATTTCAGACAAATTGGATATTTCTGTTACAATGGTATATAATAGGATCAAGTAATATAAGAAAACTGGTTTCTCAATATCTATAAAATGTTTGAGCAGCTGAAAATTTTTTCTAAATATAATAGTCAAGTATTACAGTATATTATTTGTAAAAACTGGTTCGTTTCTCTTGATAATATAACAAATCAGTTAAATATAAGACTTAATATTACATTTCATATTAATACAATTAGAAATTATCTTTACAATGAATGTTTTTATAGTTATGTTGCTTGTAGAAAACCTCTTTTAAGCAAAAAAAAACAAACAAACAGTTGAAATAATACAAAGAAAAAATTAATTGAAATAGAGAATAGGAACATGTAATATAATTAAACAAATCAAGATTTGTTCTTTTTGAATTGGATGGCTAGATATGAGTATAGAAAAAGTATAATGAAACATATAAAAAAGAATGTATTCAATCTATAGTGAAGTTTGATAAAAAATCAATAATGTTTTGAAGTTGCTTTAATTGAAATAACATTAAATCTTTAATCATAGTAGATATAACTATGAATTTCAATATTTATGTTAATGTTCTTGCTAATTCTTTGGTACTGTGAATTCAAAATCATCCCAGTACTATATTCCAACAGGATGGAGCTTTATATTACATATCTTTATATACTCTTTGATAACTGTTAACACATGATATCTTGTTTTTAAATTGGATAACACAAAACCTGGATCTAAACCTAATATAGCATCATTTAAATTACCAAATATGAAAAAGAATTCCTTTTTCTAAATCAAAACAAGAATTGATAAAGGCCATGCAAGATGAATGGCAAAAAATTAGTATTGAAATATTATGCAATTTGGTTTAAGCTTGTTCAAACATATTAATGTGATAATCAAGGCCAAAGGTGAATATATGAAATATTGATTTTTGGGCCTTTAAAATTTTTAAATAGTAAACCGAAGCATTGGCATTTTGTTTTATTAGTTTCTTTTTTGAGTTAATAAATATTAAATAATGACAAAAAAATTTTTTTTTATAAAATTACATAATGATGATCATTTTCGGTAATTTATTGTAGGGGACTGTACATGATCTAATTACGTATCACCAGATTTGCAAAAACTTATTTAAAAAGATCCAATTTAAAATTTACCACAGATATTTTTACTGATGAATGGTACTTTCATAAAAACCGTCACAGACATAGATGGACACACAATCAATGTTAAAGAACTTTCAAGGCGTTATGTATTAATTCTGATAACACTTAAGGTAAAAAAAAGTATTGCATTCATTACTTGGTGGAATATCTAATTCTTTTACGTCAATTGAAGTCCACTTCTTGCCCCGTTTGTCCACAACTTCTGTTGTTATTAAACCTACATGGTTTACAAGATAATCCACCAGCAGAATATCGAGATCCATTTGATTATTCGATAACGTGCGTTCCCCCAGAAGAAATTCTAGTATGTTCTTTCAAAAATTTAAATGCAGAATGGCTTTACTATCGTGGATTTAATTCAATTTTACAACATTGCAACACAATATGCAGATCAATCGTCTTCTTCTTAAAACAGATGCTTATTTCATTATTTTATGTCCCGGACCGGTGGAAGATGCGCGACGTATAAGGGAAACTTGCAATTTTCCTTATCCATTTATAGTGGATGAAGATTTGTCTCTTGCTGAATCGATTCGTCTTAGGTAATTTTAAGTAAATGTTTTTTCTTTGTTTTATTTAAATTCGTCCAAAACTGATTCACTTATGACTCTAAGATTGTCGTATGATGAAATGTTGCCATATATTGGACATATCTATTCTTCGGATATTTCTGTTCGTACTGTATGTGCAGGACGATTTCCTTCAAACTATGGTCATGATCGTTTACTGGCATATTTACGCGACTATCGCGTTGTAACTGAAGAGAATGCTACTAAATTCAGTAATGAAGCTATGGAGTTGATTACATGTTTGAAAAAATCGGAATTATTAGATGATAACGAACCAAATGAATACTATCAATACGAACCACAGTTAGAAACGGAACATAAAGTTGTTTTACAAAAGCAACTTTTACCTGTAGAGCTACTCTCTCAGATTTTTGAATACATTGAAACATGGAATATTGTAAAAATTATTATGACTACATGTCGACAGTGGAGATCTATTGGATTTGAGGTGATCGTGACGAGGATGAAACAACAAGCTAAAAGCATCACAGATTCTGTTGTAATTTATTCTAGATCAACTTCAAATAATTTGACTAAATTGGGTACAGGTAA